AAACTAAAAAAAAAGGAGAAAAAAAATAGTATGTATAGGTGCTTATATTTTAGCCTTGACTCAAATAAAGGCGGTTTGGTTGGATTTTTTGAGTTTCATATATGGCTTGCGAGTATTGATTGAAATGAGGTATGGAATAATTTTGTTGGGCTTGATCTTGATTAATAGGTGATGACGTTGTGAAGTTCATGTTTTGTAGTTCTAGATGCTCAAGTTTTCGTCACTTTATCCATATTTTTCCTACCCTAACCAAAGAGCCTACATTACAACCAAATAAGAAGTCCTTTTTGATTCACGAATTGCATGCACAATGAGTGGTGGAGATATTTGACGATTTGCAAGCTTATGGTAATTCTTCAACATTGAATTGATTTGAGCGATTATTCCCTTACACACTATTGAGAGTGAGAGTATACACTTATCCAGTGAGGTTTGTGAATTAAAGCATTGACCATGATTTTGTTGAAGCATTCTTTATGTTTAAAAATTCCAGAACTTGGTTATGTTATTTGCCCAATGCATATTGAGAATGTGTATGATTGACTTTGAGAGTTGTGATTGTCTTTTCGTGTGTGTGTTGGTAGGAGTTTGATGCATTGATCGGGACTATCAATGGTTTAAGTTTGGGGTTTGTTCATGTGTGATTTTACACCATGTTTATATAGTATCTAGAGCTTACTCATTGCATTATTGGTGTATAAATTATATTATTGTGCTATAATTCTATATCTTGTGGAAAGGTATTACACGTGTTTGTTTTGTAGATATTTTCATATATTTGTAGAGCTTGTGGCTATTGGAGGCGCAAGGTGAGTACCTAAAACCCCCGGGATGATGAAAGATTGATGCATGGATGAAAAAAATTGAAGAAACGAGTGAAACGAGCAAAAATAAGAGTGCTGATTTGTGACACGGGCAGTGACATGGGCACCATGCCCGTGTCAAAGGCCGTGTCACCTCAACAGAGACAATTCATAACCTGGAAGCTGACACGGGGTACGACACGGACCATGACACGGGCAGAATGACCGTGTCGCGCGCGCAGGCTGGTTTTTGTTTTGTGCCTATTTTGAAAAGGAGAAGGGTTTTGGACATTATAAAAGGCATATTCACCCTATTTTGAAGAGAAGAACGTGAATACACATTAGAGAGGCCCTAGAACACACAAGGGAAGCAATTGGGAAGCAAAAGAAGATCCAACTACAAAGGGATCAAGAAGATTGAAAGATCGACGAGATTCCTAGTTTTTATTTCTTCTTTCCTTTTGAACTTTTATTGATCATGTCGATTTCTAATATGTCTATGTATTTGAATTCGAACATGAGTGGCTAGTTTATTTGATTCTAAGACTTGGTAGTAGATTAATATGTTGGGATTTTGGATGATTTATTATAATTGATTATCTTCTTTTGAACCCTATTCAAATATTTTGTTCTTATTTCATGTTTAGCACTTGATCAATGTTTTTACATGTTTGACAATATTGTTCATAATTCGAGAGATGAGTTCAATATTAGGTCTTTAATATTTGACACAATTTACTTGCTTGAATCGAGAGATTAGTAGGTTGTTGTGAGGATAATAGATCTTTTAATCTATTTGGAGTTGAATTACATGTTGAGTGGAGACGCTAATATATGTGATTTAATCTACGGTTTTATCGATCTTGAGTGGGACAATAAGCTAAATTTGAGATCATCTTATAGGGAAGATAAAGAAAACATTGGTTGTGATATTTCTGAAGAAACTCAACTATTAATTGAAACCAAAGTCTTAGAATCTATCGTTCTCATACATCTTCTTACGTGTTTTTCTAGCTAGTTTCTTCTTGTTGCTTTATTTCTCTTTAATTATATTTTCTTAGTTTAGTTAATCCGTCTCATATTCGGTTGTCTAAATAAAGTTGACACTATCATAATCTGGTACTTGATATATTAATTATTTGGTCTCTTGGGATACGACCTTGCTTGCCACATACTACGAGTGAAGCCGTACACTTGCGGTCGAGCTTTAAAAATATAGGCGAACAATTCCTCCACCCAGCGTCCAGGCCCGCGAACCCGAACCCCAGCCCGCGAGTCCAACCTGGTAGTAGGCCTCGTTTTGACCGGCCCAATTCGCTTAGTTCAGCCCAATTGTGTCTGCGAGGCCCAGTTTCGGGGCAGACTTGGGCCAGTCTTTGGCAGCGCAGTCCAGTTAGCCTTTTTGGCCTATTTTGAATTCCGGAAGTTCGTTTTTCATACTGATTTCAATTCTAAAAATATTTCCAAATGAGAAAGTTTGGGAAAAATTATTTTAAGTCCCGAGACTTTATTTTTAGTCCCCGAGTCTTTTCTTTTAAAAAATTTGAGAGTTCCAAGTCCACGAAAAAATTCCGATAAAATCACTTAATCATTATTTTGATTAAGTGTGATTTAAATATTAATTCCGAGTAGTGAGATAAATTATTGATTATAATTCTCGCTTAAATGTAGGTGTTTGAGGAGTCGAACCCTCGACCTACCGACCTATTTGTGTGCTTTTCTACCGATTTACCAGGTGGGTTTTATTTAAAAATTGTCTATGCAATAAATGGTTTACTTTACTTGAGTATGATCAATGTGTGCTTACGAATCATGTAGCCTTCGATGTGAGCTGTACCGGCCGTCGAACGGTTGTCCCTTATTTATGAAAATAAACCCGAGGGGTTACTCCTACTGACCGGGCATCGATGGAAGCCCGTGGGGCGATTCGATGTGTAGGACCAGAAGGCATAGATGTAGAGCCCATGGGGCATTCGAAGCATGACCCGAGCGAGGGCCTTCGATACATCTACCGGCAGTAGTCTATCGGTATAGATGTGCACATGAGTCTGAACACTGTGAATTTTACGATGAAACATGGGATACTTAAATTGATTCATATACATGCTGTGATCGTACTTTCTCTGTTACCGTTTGATATGTAAATATTTATTTCATAGTGGTGAGCACCTCGATTTCCTATTGTTCTCATCCCCACCTGCTCTTCATTGATGCAGTTAGTAAGTGCGGGCACGTCAGAAGGAGGCGTGTGGTGGTCATATTATTATTGATTATTTCCGCTGTTTAAAACTGAGTAGTATGATTTATGCATTACGGATTTACGTTGAGTACTGGATTATTGATAGAGAGTGTGCTCCCTAGTATATATGGATTTGATGAACCCAATTTGGGAGTTGATGTCATTTATGAACCCAGTTTGGGTGTTGACTATTTATGATTATTGAACTCGTTTGGGAGTCGCATTTATGATATTGTTGAAATTGTTTTTGGAAATGAGTAGCGCCTCAAGTGTTTTGAAATAAATTTTGAAAAACTTATTCTGATTTTCGGCAAATAAAAGTGGGGCGTTACAAAAACACAACTAACCTAGCAACAAAAGACAACTAACCTAGCAATAAAAGACAACTAACCTAGTAGCAAGAAAAAGTAACCTAGCAACTTAAGACAACTAACCTAGCAACAAAACTCAACTAACCTAGCAGCTACAAATAACTAACCTAGCAACAACATAAAACTAACCTAGCAACAAAACACAACTAACCTAGCAGCTAAAGATAATTAACCTAGCAACAAAAGAAAGCTAACTTAGCAGCAACAAAGCCAACAAGCTCATTTCGAAGATTCTTAAAGGCCGTCTTTCCCCTCTTCTCCCCTCCTTCATCTCTCCGAACCAGAGTGGATTCGTCAAGGATAGGGTCATTAGTGATAACATCTTTCTGGCCCAGGAGATGATCCACGACATCTCCCGAGCGGACTGGAAGCGGGCTCCGAATATCGCGCTGAAGCTAGACATGGCTAAGGCGTATGATAGGGTTGAGTGGCCGTTTCTTAGGGAGGCACTAGCTAGGATGCGTGCTGCGGCTGTCGCCACCCTCCTGACTTCGGGCCACCAGGGCTCGTGGCAGATTCAGCACCCGCTTATGCGCATCAGAGATCTACTTCGGTCAGTCCATCACAGGATTACGCACATTTTCCATGAAGGGAACAGACCTGCTGACTACCTGGCCAGCCTTGGCGCCACCACACCAGATACACATACATTTCAGATCGACATTGCTCCACTCCGCCTTCGCACCCTTGTACGGATGGACCAGCTTGGATACCCAGCGTTCCGCTTTCATTAGTTTAGATTTTCTGGTTTCATTAGTATAATCATTTATTTCGGGCATCTGTTAGCCCGAAGATCGACTTTGTTTTGTTTTGTAGTTTTTGCCTCTTTTTCGTTTTTCGGCTTTTCTTTTTTGCTTTCTCTTTCGTTTTTGAGCTTGATTAGTGAGACTCTGTAGACTTTTGTATCTTGCTCTTTGATATTTTGGGCTCCCGATTTTAGGGCCCTGATCTATGCACAGGTTGGGGATCCAACCCAATCCCCCGCCCTTCCGGGGCGCTGTTTTTAAAAAAATAAAATAAAAAAAAACCTAGCAACATCAGAAAAATAACCTAGCAACTACAGAGAACTAACCTAGCAACTACTAACCTTACAACTAAAGAGAACTAACCTAGCAACTACAGAAGAATTGCCGGCTCACCTCCCCTCTGTCGAGATTGAGATTTCGACTGAGCCTATAGCTCTCCAGCCACACTCTGACGGCGAGCACCCGAGTGCTCTGCCGGATGGAGTCTCTTCTCCTCTCCTCTCTGAGCAGGCATGCGGTCTTAACCGCGCTCAGCACGACGTCTCGTGCGAGAGTTTTGCTTCCAGTGCTTTCGTGCACCATGACAGACAGGAGGCATGCCCGGACATGGGACAGGTACCTAGTGTCAGTTTTGGTCGGACTGCTCAGCCTGACGATTCGTAGGCCACGAGCGCTTTTCGAGGGCATTCTCCCTTGAATACCATACCCACGCTGCGCATGACGAGGCGGACCGTCTCTCCGGTTCTTCGTCGATCCTCTCGCCACCTACCCCCTCCCTCAGGTGGTCTGACTCAGCCTCGCCACAGGTGGACCCCGTCCGGTGGCTCTTCTGATTGCTGATATGTCTATCACGTCCATTACCTGGAATGGACGGGGAATGGCTAATAGGGCCACTCTCGCTCACCTTCGCTCTCTCATTCGTGATCATAGATTGGATTTTCTCGGCTTTATTGAGCCGATGATTCGCACCCCTGACTTTGACTATTTCTCACGTCGTCTTGGTTTCCATTCGGGCGTGGGTAACATTTCTCATAAGATCTTCTTCTTCCACTCGCGTGACTACACTTGTCGGGTCCTCCGGGACACCGATCAGGTGCTTCATGTCGAGCTTTCTGCTGCCCATCTCCCTGAGCCCATATTTCACACTTTGGTTTACGCCAAGTGTAATAGAGTCGGGAGACACGATCTGTGGGACACCCTGCGTGAGATTGCTGAGAGTGTGGAGGGATTGCCATGGATGGTTAGTGGCGATTTCAACATCTATCTGCACCCCGATGAGCGTGTGGGTGGCCGCACGGACCGGTCCCGGGAGATGTGTGACTTTGCTCAGACTGTGGCGGACTGTGAGTTGATAGATGCTGGATATGAGGGGGAGCCCTTCACGTGGGTTAGGGACGACCTCAAAGAGAGGCTCGACCGTGCTTTGGTCTCTGAAGCGTGGTCGAAGGTGTTTGCGGTCACGACCGTCACGCATCTCACTCGATTTGGGTCTGACCATTCACCACTCCTTATTAGGTGTCGCTTCTCGAGCACTCCCCGCCGCACTTACTTTAGGTTCCAGAACATGTGGGTTCGCCACCACTCTTTCCATGACATTGTCAGGGATTCCTGGCTTCAACCAACTGGGCTCTTCGGGATGCGCATTCTCGAAGCTAAGCTTGGCAGATTACGGCGTAGGTTGAGACAGTGGAACTGGGATGTTTTTGGAAACCTCCATCAGCGCCTTTCTGCGGCTCAGAGTGCGCACGTGGAGGCTGAGCGGGCCTATGACCTGGATCCCACTCGGGAGAATAGGACTGCGATGCACCGCTGCCACGCCGAGTACCAGCTCCGACTCCTTATGGAGGAGGATTTCTGGAAGCAGAAGGCGGCCGTTCGCTGGGTGGCAGAGGGCGAGCGGAACACTAGGTTCTTCCAGGGCTTCGTTAGACAGAAGCGTGCTAAGTCGTACATCTATAGTATTGAGGCAGATGGGTCATCCCTGACCCAGGAGTCTCAGATTCGGGAGTCGGCTGTTGCTCACTTCCAGACCCTCTTCACCTCTGACAGATGGTCCCTCATTGCCCTGACCGTCTCTCTCTTCCCTACCATCCCTCCTTCGGTCGACCTTGTTGACCTCTGTGAGCTTCCGAGCAGGGAGGAGGTTAGGGATGCTGTTTTTGGGATTGATCCCAACAGCGTTTCTGGTCCCGATGGGTTCTCTTCCCTCTTCTATCAGGTCTGCTGGGATATAGTTGAGCCTGATGTTGAGGAGGCGGTATTGGATTTCTTCACCGGTCACTGGATGCCGGATTCTTTCACGGCTACCTCTGTCGTCTTGACTCCCAAAAGACCCAATCCGAGCTCTTGGTCCGACTACAGGCCCATCAGCCTGTGAAACGTGACCAATAAGCTTATTTCACATATTCTTAACGGCCGTCTTTCCCCTATTCTCCCCTTCCTCATCTCTCCGAATCAGAGTGGCTTTGTCAAGGATCGGGTCACTAGTGATAACATACTATTGGCCCAGAAGATGATCCACGATATCTCCCATGCAGACTAGAAGCGGGCTCCGAACATTGCGCTGAAGCTAGATATGGCTAAGGCGTATGATAGAGTGGAGTGGCCGTTTCTTAGGAAGGCACTGGCTAGGATGGGATTCCCGGAGCGATGGATCAGCTTTGTAGAGGCGTGTGTGGAGCATTGCACGTTCTCGGTTCTGGTTAATGGCAGCCCCACAGATTTTTTTCCCTCATCTAGAGGCCTTAGACAGGGAGATCCCCTTTCCCCGTCCCTTTTTGTTCTTGCGGCGGACTACCTCTCTCGCTGCCTCAACGGCTTTATCCACGATTATCCCCAGATGACATATAGCACCCGTGGCTATGGTCCCCCCGTCTCGCACTTATCTTATGCAGATGACATCATCATCTTCACTCGTGCGGATGATGATGGGCTGATCGAGCTTATGCACCTTCTGGAGCATTATAGCTCGGTTACCGGCCAGCTGATCAGTGTGCAGAAGAGCACCTTCACCCTTTCCTCCTCCAGCGCGGACAGGTGGGCTCAGCAAGTCCACGAGATCACTGGCTTTGCTCACGGCGACCTTCCTATTACCTACCTTGGTGCCCCTTTATATACGGGCAACCTCACGAGAGCGCTCTTTGCCGGCATCAGACAGAGGATTATCGATAGGATTTCTGGTTGGTCGCATAGACATCTTTCGTTCGGTGGTCGGCTTGCTCTGATCAAGAGCACCCTTAGCTCCCTTCCGCTTCATTTACTTATGGTCCTCGACCCTCCTAGGTCCACCCTTGACGAGATTGACCAGATCATGGCTCGTTATTTCTGGGGTTACGAGAATGGTTCGGGGAGGGGGAGACGTACCCACTGGGTGAGTTGAGACTCTATCTGCCGCCTTCTCCCTGAGGGTGGTCTTGGCATCCGTCGCCTTAGGGATATTGTTACTGCCTTCTCATACAAGTTGTGGTGGCGCTTCAGGGAAGGAAAGTCGTTTTGGGCCCAGTACCTTCGCGGCAAGTACTGCTCTAGACGCGCCAACCACCCTTGTTGGGTAACGGCGGTTGCGCATGATAGCAGACAGTAGCGGCGTCTTATTAGGGTTGGTAGGCGCGCCCAGGATCACATTTTTTGGGTTTTGGGGGTTGGCGGGGTTAGTTTTTGGGATGAGTGGTGGCTAGGTGATAGGCCGTTGTCTAGAGATAGGCAGGTGTCGCATTCCCCCTACCTGCTTGTGCGCGACCTTTGGACGGATGGGTCGTGGGATAGGGGGAAGCTTGAGAGAGAGTTGGGCTTCGGGGCGGGTTTTAGTGAGCAGTTATTAGATAGGATCCAGCAGATACCCATCTCGGGGGACGGTTCGGATGGTATGAGGTGGGGACTTACATCATCTGGTGTGTTTTCTACTACCTCGGCTTGGGAGCAGATCAGGCTGAGTGATCGGCCGAATCTTCTCTTCGGAGCCATCGGGAGCGACATTTTCACCCCTACCATATCTGTTTTCCTTTGGCGCCTCCTCTTGCGCCGGATACCCGTGGACACTGTGTTACATGCGAGGGAGATCTCCTTCCCCTCCCTATGTGTGTGTTGTTCTGAGACCGGACGTCATGAGACTGAGACCTTTACCCACCTTTTTTTAGAGTGAGATTGTGAGGTGAGTGTGGGAGCATTTTGCTACTTGGACTCATATATCCCTACCCTCCAGACAGTTTTTTTGAGCTCCTGAGTTTTTTCTCACAGAGCACACACTTTAGACACGTGAGCTTCCTCATTCCTTGTCTGATCCTTTGGTTCACTTGGACGGAAAGGAATAGTGCGAAGCATAGGGATACTACTTTCTTGCTTTCTCACATTGTTTTGCAGGTGGAGAGACACGTTTCACTACACACAGCGTTGGGCAGGATTTCTGCACGTGAGTGGACAGGCTGCACGCCACCGCACCTCTACAGAGTGGCTCCCCCTCCGCCTGTTCGGCCGCCTCGGCCCAGAGCTATTGTTTGGCTTCGACCCGACTCTCCTTGGGTCAAGCTGAACACCGATGGATCTTTTGATCGCCATAGCAGTACTGCCGGAGGAGGAGGGTTGATCCGGGACCACAGTGGAGCTCTTATAACCGCCTTCCACACATCCCTTCAGGCATCCTCGAGCTACGATGCAGAGATTCAGACATTACAGATTGGCCTTCAGATTGCTGCCGACCTCTCTAGTCATATTTGGATTGAGCTGGACGCAGCGGTTGTCGTCACCCTTCTGGCCTCGGGTCATCAGGGCTCGTGGCAGATTCAACACCCACTTATGCTCATTAGAGATCTACTTCGGTCTGTCCATTACATGATCACACACATCTTCTGTGAGGGGAACAAACCTGCTGATTACCTTGCCAGTCTTGGCGCTACCATAGCAGACACGCACACGTATAAGACCTACACTGCTCCACTCCGTCTTCGCACGCTAGTTCGGATGGATCAGCTGGGATAACCATCGTTTCGATTCCAGTAGATTAGGTTTCTGGTTTTGGTCTTCTTAGACCATCCATTTATTCCGGGCACCTGTTAGCCCGATGATAGACCTTGTTCTATTTTCATTTTCTGTTTTCATTTCTGTTTGGATTGTGAGACTATGTTGACACTTTGGACCCCAGTTTTCGGGTCTTGATCTATGTACAGGTTGGGGATCCTGCCCAATCCCCCGCCCTTCCGGGGCGTTGTTTGTTTTTTTTTTTAAAAAAAAAAAGAAAAAAAAATAAACTAGCAACTAAAGAGAACTAACCTAGCAACTAGAGAGAACTAACCTAGCAACTACTAACCTATAATTTCAATCACCTCCTAGTTACCTTTCATTTTCCCGAGGACTTCAACGAGGTATGGCTTAAGACCTCGACTCATCTGTGTGGATGCCCTGCTAGGGTGTTCAAGTATCATGCCGGGTTTAACCCGAAGACAGAGACACCTGTTGTCCCCGTGTGGTGCCGTCTTTACGATCGTGCTGCCATCACTACGCTTGCTAAGTGTATTGGACAGCCGATTCGTATTGACGCCCCGAGGGCCCTTCAGTCGAGGGCTAACGTGGCGCGATTTTGTGTCGAGATAGACCTCAGAGTTGAGCCCATCCATGAGATTGAGATTGAACAGGGCTCGGAGACCTTTGCTCAGCGGGTGACCTATGAGAAGATCCCCGCGTTCTGCACTTTATGCAGTCATGTGGGTCATATTGCGGCTGATAGCTACACTAGTGGCAATAAGCCACGGCCCACACTTCCGCAGCGCCACCGTGTGACCCAGTCGGGGACCTCCACCGGCCGGAGGGACCCGAAGGGAAAGGGCAAAAGCCCTCTTCGCGCGCCCGAGATCCCGAAGGGGTCTAAGGATAAAGGCAAGGCTGTGATTGTCGACACTGCCCAAACAGGGAAGGATGCTCATCCTAACCAGCCTAAGTAGTTGGCCATAGTAGGGCCCAAGCCCAAGTCCACGGGCTTTCTCCCTAGACAAACCTTACAGTCGGCCTTCAAGGCCAACCACTCGTACTTTGCTGTTCTCTCTCCAGAGGTAGAGAATGAAGCTATGCCTTCCACTAGTGGCCCATCTAGGATTACGAACTGTATGCTTCTTGATGATGACGACCTCCTCGGAGACGATATGGACTAGCCGGACGCCTCGTCCAGGGGCGAGTCCATCCACTTATCTCATGACAGTGCGCACGATGTTGGTCCTTTGAATGTGCACGTATCTAGCCCGGACCGACCTCTGGATTTGAGGGCCACTGCCGTCACTGCTCCCCCGAAAGGGGATGAGTCGGCCCGTCTCCTCCCCGGTGAGATTCGGAGCTCGGCTGAGCATATAGCCAGCCCCCATCCTCCCTCTGGCGACGAGCACCTGAGTGCTCTGCCTGCTGGATCCTCTCTTTCTCCCATCCCCGAGCAGGCATGCGGTCTTAACCGCGCCCAGCATGACGTCTCGTGCGAGAGCTTCGCCTCTAGTGCCTTCATTCACTATGACAGACAGGAGACAACCCCGGAGATGGGGCAACCCGCTAGTGCCGCTCTTGGTCAGATTGCCCAGCCAGACGACACGCAGGCCACGAGCACCTACCGAGGCAGACAGTCCATGAGGACCAGAGCCACGCAGCGCACGACACAACTGACTGTCTCCCCTGCTATTCGATCCTTCCGCCACATTCCTTCTTTAGGTGGCCCGACTCAGCCTCGCCACATGCGGACTATGTCCGGTGGTTCTTGCGACCGTTGATATGTCTATCACATCTATTACTTGGAATGGTCGTGGCCTGGCGAATAGGGCTACTCTCTCTCACCCCCATTCTCTCATTCGTGATCACAAACTCGATTGTGTTGGTTTTATTGAGCCGATGATTCGCACCCCTTTTTTTTACTACTACTCGCGTCGCCTTGGCTTCCACTCGGGCGTGGGTAATATTTTGCATAAGATCTGGTTCTTTCACTCGCGTGACCACACTAGTTGGGTCCTCTGCGAAACCGATCAGGTGCTTCACGTAGAGCTTTCCGTTGTCCACCTCCCAGAGCCCATCTTTCACACCTTGGTTTATGCCAAGTGTACTAGGGTCGGGCGATATGACCTTTGGGACACCCTGCGTGAGATTGCCGAGAGTATGGAGGGATTGCCATGGATGGTTAGTGGCGATTTCAACATCTTTCTGCACCCCGATGAGCGTGTGGGCGGCCGTTCAGATCGGTCACGGGAGATGTGGGATTTTGCTCAGGCGGTGGCGGACTGTGAGTTAATTGATGCTGGATGTGATGGTGAGCCCTTCACGTGGGTGAGGGACGGACTCAAAGAGAGGCTCGACCATGCCTTGGTTTCTGAGGCGTGGGCGAAGGTGTTTGCGGTTACACCGTCACACACCTTA